TTTACCCTTATTTGATCATCGACAGGTACATCGTCCACTTACTCTGCAACCCTAACCAACATATCTGCTCGTATAACTGCTATGGCACATCTTTTGGCATTTGCAGTTCTTTTGTTAGCCTCGGCAGCTTCTAGTTCTAGTTGCGCACCTTCCAACTCCAATGCAACATTATTAGATCGAACATCAAATGTAACTCCCAAATAGATCAACGAGCGACGCGTAGCCGAAATTGGATCACAAAGCGTAAACAAAACGAACGATCCGGCAAATTTCTACGGTACTGCATTATTAAACGACCAAATAGGCAAATCAAAACTGCGAAAACCTCAAAGTGATCTCGAAACAACTTGAAAACAAGAGCCAAGTGTCACTGTGAGGGTAAATCAACAAATCTGAATGGAATAAAATGAGCCTGGGAAAGAATAGCACGCTCAACGTCACGTTACACACGAATGAGCCAAACGTGAGCGCTCAAGTCGCGATTAAAACAAGTAGGGTAAAAATTGAAGCAGATAAACAAACAAAGTCAAATGGTAGGATTGATGTGTAAATATACAAGGGGAGTGGAACGTCAAATGTCTATCTGTATGTGAGGCGGATGAGGTTTGGTGAATGAAACGTAAAATTCATGAAATGTGGAACCGAGATGGAATGGCTGGGCCTTACAGGAAGGATTTTCACAGATCGATCAATACATCAACACTGCCGCATGTAAGTAAAGTAGCCGAATATTACTTACCGGACGGGAGTGCAGTAGCAGAATCCTCACTACATAGGTCCTCCGATATTTTTTCATATTCCATTGCTCGTGGCGAAGTGAAGAACAAAGAGTCACAATTAAAAAGTAAACACAAAGAACAAGGGAAGTGTCCCAATGTCACAAAACACCAAATACACCGTTTCAGTAGGTTCAACAAACGACAGCACAACGCAAGAAGGAATTCCAGTTTCGTATCCCAATGGAAGATTTTTCACAGATTGATTACCAACAAGGAGTTCAAATACTGTCTGACACGCGTATCGTTCAATCGAACAACTTCTCGCTCCTGAAATTTGTACGTTTCTTCATCGCAAACCCAACGATTAACCGAAACGTCTAACAATAATAGAACACAACGAACACCGATCAACAGTGGAAACACCTAATAGTGTATCTGAAAGTTTACAATGATACAAAAAATTTCGTATACATACTTGACCGTGATCTTTAGTAGGCGGACCGTACAACGATAAACGAACAAGTGGAGTGTTATTGCTCAACCGAGCGGAATCAAACGACAATCGAAACGGTTATGTTTTACAGGAATGATGATAAACAGTATAGATAAACAAGGCCGGATTACAAGTGAGAAGAGAGAACACCATTCACAAAAACCTATCTGGGTCATCAAAATGTTTTCATCATCATCTACGGTGCTCCAGCCACCGTAACAGTTGTACATATGGCCTATTTATCTCTATCTGGTACCTGTAGTTTTTGTGATCGGCGTCAGCGTCTGATCCTCGATTCCAGTTAGGGGAACCGATGGCGTTGTCCTCTGCTTCAGTTTCGCCTTAGGCACTACCTGCATTTTGGTTTCTGAGTTCGGCGTAACGTTGAGTGATCGCCTTTATTGGCACAATGGGGAGGTGGAGTCTGGTTCCTACTGATCTTAACAGTGAGGGGGCTTTGTTCTGTGCACCGTGGTTGTTCCCCAGCCTTTGACTGCTTGCAGGATACGCATGCCATAATCTTGGTTCCCTGCTTCCTTGTGCCTTTCGGTTCTGTAGTTACTAATAGTTTCAACCTGATGGGAGTCGAGGAAACCACCGCTGCGTAGCTCAACTCGCATTCGTGTTCCTGTCTCATGGCGGGACGTAGTTCCGGAGAGAACTTTGCAACGGATACCTTGAGAGTCGCCTTTTTGGTTGCCTTACCCTCCTTATCGCGAGTGCTTCACCCTGCTCTGAGGTCTTCCAAACATGTGCTTCCGGGTATCAGGTGTGATCTAATACCTTTCCCCAGTGACACGCGCTATTTTTTCGCAGTTACTGAGCATTTTGTCCCGGACTGCGGGATTACCGAATTCAACTAGGATAAGTCTAGCTTCCCTGTGTTCCAGGCTACCTGCTGGGTCGGTCTAGCGGCTGATCCCCTGAACCCATGCGGGGTTAACCCAGCAAGNCTCATAAGGCCCCGAACTTTCCTTCGTTCTGTCTGCACGGGCTTTCGCAGTTCGTATAACCGGTTCCTCGTCGTTATAGATAGGGACGTTCCTATTTCGGCCGACTGCAATAACGTTCTCTTTATTGAGAAGCGACAGTCCCCTCTCTAGGGTGGTAACTCTCGCCTCTAGTTTCTTTACGATTTTCTTCAGTGAGTTTCGGGATTTTAACTCCAGTTTTGCCTACAATAAACGGGGTTTTACGACCGGCACCTTCCGCAAAAGCTAAGCATATATAGCAAGACCACTGCAAGGCGTCTTTCCCCACTTAAGTTTTGTGGGCACTACGGTCTATGAGGGCACACCGTGGGTGGTATAAATATCCCAAGCAGTCACATTGAATCTCGCTCTAGACAAGTTTCTGGAACTTTAGAGCTCCACCGCAGTTTGTTTTGGCCATTGTGAAAACATTCTCTGCGTATATGCTTACTGTTCGTGAACGTCGTAAGTAATGAAATCACTGAGTTCAAAAATGACACTCGGACTTACCGGATATCTTAGCTAGGCGGATTTGCAGATATTTGCATGATTAAGAGCGGATTCACTGGTTTTAACTCGCAGTACTTCGTAATTTCGAGACTAGATATTAACCACGACAAAATTTTAATTGAGCGCTCAAGGTAGTATCAGGTCTCTTCCATGTCCCATATCCTTCCAGTCTCACTAAACCGAACCGTTACCCCCTAAACATCCGCCACATCAGAGCGGACATTTTACTTCTTCACCGCTTATTTTCCACGGGCACGGTCAACCAGTTTTCACCCCCTGTAGCTTGCATACGCTTGGTGGTCGCAGCAAAACGTTGTTTGCATCCCGGTCCGCCATTCATTCTTTACCCATGGAGTTATCCCTTTATGGAACAGCCTCCCTTTCTAAGTGCATGTTCCAACACAAGAATGATATCTTTTTTGGTCTTAAACACACTTACATCAATTTTCACTATTTTCTCCTTCTCAATCTATTCATATACCTCTCCATCTATCGCGTTCTCATTTGAAATACTTTTATCCCAACTGCATTTAGTTTTAATTTTAGCTTCGACCCGTGAAATACTTCAAGACTTGAACACAATTTTCTGCAAGTAATCTTGAAAAATCCTCCATAACTGTGATTTGCGGCAATAGTTTGGAATACCGCGTTATTTTCTCCGTAAATTAGTCTTTGGAGGTGATGTTGCGTTGTTTGTTTTTATTGGTCACATCAAGGAGGAGCGCCACATTTGCCCTTTGTGCGTGCCGGCAGGATGGTGAGTTGCCCGGTGTCTTTTTCGCTTGTCGATTGTGTTGCAAACGATGTCTAAGCAATCTTTTGTTTAGGGGGATAATGTCCTCATTCAGACGCGAAAGTTTATGTCAAATCGCCTGCTTTTCCGGAAGCAAATGGTGGTAGATATATTGCATCCCGGACGGTGTGTGCTGTCGATTAAAGAGATCCGGGAGCGGCTTGCGAAGACGTACAAAACGTCACCGGACGTTGTGTTTGCCTTTGGTTTCAGGACGCAGTTCGGTGGTGGTAAATCGACCGGATTTGCTCTCGTATATGATTCTCTGGACCACGCTAAGAAATTCGAGCCGAAATACCGGCTTATCCGAGTGAGTTATGCAATTGGATTCTAATTTCCTCCCGCAGAATGGTCACCTTGCTGCCACAACTAAAGGTCGTCAGGTCCGGAAGCAACGTAAGAATAAGGCAAAGAAGGTGAGGGGCACCAAGCCGAAGAAGAAGAGGTCCGAGGCTTAAATGGACAGTGCACTGTAATGTGGCTTGAACAAATATATACTGGTGTATAGCGCGGCTTGTTGCGGTTGTCTATGTGGTGGAATATCTCCGGTCGAATCAACTTTCTCTGTATCCGGCTTTTTTTCGTGGATTGTTAATTTATTTGTTATAAGAACGCCAATTACATTTCGCTCGTCAGCGTAGTAATAGGTCGCAATCAGTTTGGTTATCATGCGTTTGCCCCTAGCGTGATCTCTAACCAGGACAGTGCCAAAATTGCCGTTAGGTTTTTCGCCTGGGGCCGGGTGGTGCTGGTGCGTCGGCTCATTCTTACAACCCGTATGAGAATTCGCTGGCTTCCGTTCGACTCAATTCGCAACAATCCATTCTGCCTTAACAATTAACTGGGCAGTCAAAAGACAGCAACCTAAACCGACGCACAAATATGCAGCGTAGGTGGGTTTTGGAGAAACAACTGAACTCCATCCGTAGATGTTTGACGGGGCTTGGCATACCCATGCATTGATCGTTGTCTTACGGAACCAGCGGGTATCTTCTGCAACGTGAACATTGCTCGAGATGAGTAAGTGATCGCGCTTGAATAGAAGTTTCAAAGCCGACATGAATTGAGTAGGGATGTCGACAGTGTTGAAGAGGCATTACGTGGTTAGTCACTCCTTATCCCCGGACTTAGGTCACCGGTTTCCATCAATGAACATGAGGTCGTCTTAACTAAGAGGGTTTATCCGGTTTCCTTTTCATCACGCTCAAGTGTGTAATAAAGAAGGAAATGAGTTCGTCCTCCGTGTTTATTGGCGGGAATTGCTGCGTCTGTTTCTTTAAAGGTAAATTTGTAGAACAAAGATAACCGTTGTTTCCTGTAAGTGTTCATCCGGTGTGATGTCGATTCTCAGTGCCACACTGTGCAACGCATACGCTATGGGAAACAATTTTCCGGTCTTTGGGAGATTTTCTCGGGATACTCGGATTATAGGAGTGAGCGTTACGCTGTCCCGCGGCTGCCTATGGCCGCCACGGCTGATGATCTCAGTTCTCGATCCTCGCTCGGAAGTAGTAGTGTGCTCATATCCGGTTGTTCTGACTCGCAAATGCTTTGCTCAGGCTACCATTCATAGTACTAATATAACGTCTACGCACGTGATATTCAAAAGCAAAAACTTCGTTATATATTTATATATGTATGTATATATATATATATATATATATATATATGTATATAGCTAGTGAGGATATGTAAAGTGTACAGAGGTCAGGCCCGATTTCAGGGTTGAGAGCACAACCCAACTGTGCATCAGTAACACCTCAACCGATCAGTGTCTAACCCACCAGTTGCAGTCTTCTGAACCC